GTGACCGGCAGCGCACAGATCCCAATCTGTGTAATTTCTGCCCTTTGGTGTCTATCATTCTTGCCATCTAATTTCAAGACAGCGAGACATCAACTGTGTTTGTGGTCACTGCCCCGCTGGCAATGGTTCCCCCAGGTAAGGGACAGTCAGATTCACTGTGAAGAGTTCTCCTTCTGGTTCTCTCTTCAGGGTCTTTGCACTGGAAATTGTACCCTGGGGCAAAACCGTCATCCTTCTTGGGCCCTAAAAAGATATTGACACGAAAAGCAATTTTCACGAATAGCTCCCTGAAGCAGGCTGAGGCTATAGGAAGACTGAGAAGTGAAGCTCATTGTTTTTGGAGAGGAGGTGAGGCACTGTCCATACAGAGCCTGGATAAACTCTCAGGAAAAAAGGGCCACCATGTCGCCAGCATTGCTTTCTCCACCAAGTCCCAGTTCTGTGGCAGAGGCTTTTACAATTAACAAATGCTAGATTAACGCCACGGTATCCATTGCCTCGGGCCTGTGGAACAGCGTTTCCAGCTGTTCTTGTTTGGAGTCAGGAGTTTGGCCAGCTACACTGATGTGGTCACATGTACACCTCTCCCCGGAACCAGCACTCTGTGGCCACTCTCCGGCTCCTGAATCTCACCCTGGGCCACCAGCATGAACACAGCGAGCCCTTACAAATGCTCTGCAAATGCACTATGTGGCCGTCCTGCACAGCTCATGGGCCTCCGCTGTATTCATCAAGGGACTTGTTGTCCATGCTTTGGAGGCTGAGCCTGAAGAACTGCTAGTATTTTTTTTTTTTTTTTTTTTTTGGTATTGGGGATTGAACTCACGACCTTGCGCTTGCCAGGCAGGTGCTTATGCTGTTGAGCTAAATCCCCAGCGGTCTTAGTATTCTGAGAACCAGATTCCAAGTATTGGGCAGCTTCTGTTTTTTGGTGCCAGGAATTGAACTCATAACCTTGTACTTGTCAGGCAGGCACTGTGCCGCTGAGCCATATCCCTGGCCCTCACCTTCTGCTGCTTGAGCCCTTTCTTGGCCTTCAGCAGCTGCTGCACTGGTAGTGTGGCCTCAGCATCTCTGAGGTCCTTCAGCCTAGAAAGCAAGTCGTGGTTCGTACCTTGGGACACCCAGCTGAACTGAGTCAGTGTGACGCTGGGTGTGGAGGGCCCAGCTGAGGATGGTTGCTAACAGCATAGAAGGAAAATGGAGAGGAAGAGGTGGATGCTGTTGATTTCCCTGGAGAGAAGCTTGTCACGCTGGTTTTCCTGATATGAACTCAAGTTGTTCTCATCACTGGAGGAACTCGGGTCCTCCCTATCACCAGAGACAGCTGCCGTTCTCTTCAGGGAAGCTCTGGTCCTTCCCTTGAGCATCGCTCCCTGGTTCCAGTGCAGATCCCTCAGCCTGCTGGCACAGACCTTTCATCCTGCTGGCACTTTCTAGCTTCCACCACTGCCTTTGGGCCTCTCCAGTGCAGATCCTTGGCACAGACTTGCATGAGACATTGCCGTTGGACCCAGGCCCGCGGCTGGATTCTTTGGTGTGGACAGATCTTGCGCACTCTTGTCCTTAACTCTTTCGAGTGAATATTATAAAATAACCCTACAAATGAGGTGTCCTATATTGTTTCCCTTGCAAACCCTGACTACAGCACAGGCAGTGATTTGCATAAAGTACAGGTGTATCTTGGTATCCATGGGAACTGGATTCAGGAGTCCTATGGTTACGAAAATCCGAGGATGCTTATTTAAGTCCCATACAGAAAATGACAGAATATTTGCACAGAACCAGCACACATCCTCCTGTGTACTTCAATTTGCCAGTAGACTACTTATACTGACCAGTGCGGGGTCAGCGGCATGAAAGTAGCTGTCTCAACATCGTTTAAGGAATGATGTCGAGAAAAAGCCTGTATGTGTTCAGGAAGTGTATTTTTTCTGAATATTGTTAACCTGTGGTTGGTTAAATCCACACATGTGGAACTTGGGGATACGGAGGGAAGACTGTATTTAACAATGAATGTGGTTCATTCTGATATAAAGTATACTTTTACTTTATGTAAGTTTTATCCTGTATTTTATTTGCATTCTTAGAACCAGGTAGCCAACATGTAGATCAACCTTCTTTTGCCTTTAAAAAAAAATGCCATGGCCCCCGCTGCTGAGTAGAGAACAATTATTCTTGGCCCCATCTCCCTGCAAGTCAGTGATGTTACAGGTAGACTCTAGCAATAGCTGTATATTTGCTACTGCTGAGAGCTACAGGTAAAAATCTGTAGGAGTGTCTGTTAGTGACCCAAGCATACCCATGTTTCTAGAAGCACAATCCATAACAGCTGTATCTTGACATTAATAAATAAATGGATAAAGAAAATGTGATGTTTACACACAGTGGAGCACTACTCTGCCATAGAGAATAATAAACTAGAATCATTTGTAGGAAAATGGATGCATCATGAGACCATAATGTTAAGTGAAATAAATCAGACACAAAAGCTTAAAAACTGCATCGTTCTCTTATCTGAGAAACCCAAATTATAAATAGAGCAAAATAAAAGAAAGATAATAGAAAGCAGGGAGACAGAACTTTGTCAGCTGGGAAGGGATTAAGAGATGGAGGAAGACAAGGGAGGGGAAAAGATAAAAAAGAATTACGGTGTGTTAGACATGTACCAGCCCCATGTGAGTGCAAGTGTCATGTGTTGCAAACCTGTGCCAATAACAGGAGTATCTCAGTTTGATTCCAGTGGATGTTTCATAGTATAAAATGTGAGGGTTTAACTCAGTGGTAGCTCACTTGCCTAGCATAAGTGAGGACCTGGGTTCCGCCCTTAGCACAAAACAAAAAAACAAACAAACAAACTCCAGAAAGAATTGTAAAATGACTTAGAACTACTTCTTCCAACCTTCAGAAATCTGAGAGCACTGCAGGGCCGGAGATGCTGTGTGGAGCTCTGGATGGGAGAGGAGCACAGAGCTGTCTGTGTCTGTCCATGATGATCCTTGCTCGGTTCCAGAGTGAGAGAACAGGAGCCAGGAGAGCCCCACAGCCGTGCACGCGGCCAGACAGCCTCCTGGAGGCTGCTGGGTATGGGTGCAGCCTGTGATCCCAGCACCCCAGAGGCGGAGGTGGGAGGAGTTCATGCTCAAGCCCAGCCTGAACAACTTAGTGGCTTGCTGAGATCTAGCTCAAAAGAAGATGAAACAATAAAGGGCTGGGGCTGCAGCTCTGTGTGAAGGCTCAGGGCTCGATCCTCAGCACAGAAGCATTGTAGCCAGAGCACTGGCATCTCTAAAGGTCTGGAAAACAGCTGTGCTTGGCCATGGGTTTTAGCCGCAGGAGAGGTGCGCTTCCTCGGGCTCTGTCACATGCTGGTGGCTGACAACCACATGGACCTCTGGACCCCCCGCCTAGCTCATGCCCTGGGCTGGTGATGCAGGCCCTCCCACTCCGTCACCTGGGCCCTGCAGGGGCAGCCAGGCAGGTGGACTGCCTCACAGATGCGCTGGGAGGTCCCGTTGGGCACACCCCTGCCAGCAGCTCCAGAATCATGCTGGGTACCTCTGAGTTTGGGGACCACTCAATGTGAGGCTATACCCACTAGACCGCCCAGGGCCATGTGAGGACCAAAGCTCTTGGGTATTTTTGCCCTGGAATTCTCCATGTCTTTCTGCAGATTCTGAACATGTAGCTTGTCTGGGTGATAAAAACTATCTGGGTATTAGCAAAGCCCAGGGCACGTTAGTCCATTCATGTGGTTTAATCCACACCCAGCAACCCTGTTCCAGGGCTGCAGGACAAGTACAGTTTGCTGTGCTAGGACTCCGGGGGGAATGCCCCTGGAGCTCTCAATCTGATGCTTCTAGGGGCAGGTTTGAACCCTAGGTCCCAAGCAGTGGCTCCTCAGGGTCAGAACAGATCATGTGGCCTCGAGTGCCACGCCACGCCCCCGGGCTGGGTGACTGCCCCATGACAGGCAGCTGGGCAGGAGGCCGTAGGTCCTCTCACTTGTGTGCACTCCTGGCTGTCCTAATGCTGCAGCTGCCCAGTGGCCTTTGTGGGGGGACAGGGACCCTCTAGGAACTCCTTGCATCTCACAGGTGCAAGAATTGATCCTGACATCGAGTTATATCGCCAAGCAGGATGCATGTGGTCCCTCTATTCTGAATGTGCCATCAGGACACAAGGACAGGACACAGTCCACAGGCACTGTTCAGGGGAGCAGGGAGGGTGTGTGCAGACCATGACTGAGAACCAAGATGAGGGCGACGCTGTCACTCGCTGAAGGACCTGAGAAGCTGCTGTGAGCCTGTTCAAACCTCAGCACTGAGATCCTGGCACGCTCTGCGCCATGCACCAAGGGAAATGGGAAGGCGCCTGCAGGTCAGGATCCAGGGCCCGTGTAAACCCCGGGAAGTCAGGGAGGTTCCTGACCCCTTCTCTGAGTTTGGAATGGATGGGTCTCCCAGGACCCGGGTGTGAGAATAAAATTCCTGCTACCTGGGAGCAATTGGTCAGCACTCACTCCTCCGGCCGCTGGCCCCCAGCCCCTTCCTCACCACCTCTAATGTGGCTTCCCAGAGCTGGCTGGGCGTGAAACCCCGGAGGACCCAGCATTGCCAGCCCTGTCCCAGGGCCAGGCTATGTGGCAGGAAGTGCCGGAGGGCTGTTCTTCAGGGCCTCTGACTCAGCCGAACCTGGGCACCACTGGGTGTGGCCTCCCCTGGGGTCTGTGGGATGGGGGTTCTGATACCTGAGTGGCCGGGAGGGCTCAGGAGTCTGGGGCCACACGCTTCCTCCCTGGCTGTGCAGGAGAGGTTTGGCACCTTCCTGTGGCCCTGGGCACACATTACATCGCCATGCATCCTGGACTCCTTCTGGCTGACTTTCCTCTGCCCCCGGATCTCACCTGGTGCTTGGCCTGCAGGTGGGAGCCCCCTCCCAAGGTGCCCCTTCTGCAGGCCCTGCCCCTGCAGGACACGCAAGCGCACTACTGCTGCCCATTTATTTAGTGTGGAAGAAGGAAGAGCATTCCGTTTATTGTCAGGGACAGAGACCCAAAGTCTGCAAGTGCACTAGACGCGTGAGGAGGAGCAGGCTGGGCCTGGGCGGGGAGAGGCCCAGCAGAACACAGCATCACTGCAAGGCCCCGGCTCCCACTCCCACACTTGGCCCAGCCAGGGCGGCCATGCTGCACCCCAGGCTGAAACCGGATGGAGCAGTGACTCAGTTTCTCAGCTCCTGTGCAGCAAGCAGACCAGGACGCTGTTTCTGCTGGTGCTGGGTGCTCCCCACCCGCACAGGATGATGCGGAAGGTGGCCTGCGTCTCTCACGGGTGCCTGGTCCTGGCACCTTAAGTCCTGGGCTTCTCTAGATTCTCGATGATCAGCTTGTCCGTGGAGTACAGCTGGCTGATGTGGACCTAAGGAGAAGACAGGACACAGGTTAGGGACCCAGACTCCACCAGCCGTGACCAGCAGGGGTGCATCTGTCTCACTGACATGTGCGTCCTTGTGAATGCCGCCTTTGCTGGTTCCTTGCACCACCCACGGCTGCCCCTCCTTCTCCTCCACGGGATGGTGGCCCCAGGCTGCTTGGCTGCCAGCAGGCAGCAGAGCCATGAAGGGGCGCACAGCTCCCTGCTGGGTGCTAGTTCCTTTCTCTGGAACCCTTCCTTCCTCCATCGGGAAGGCTTTCAACATCAAGCAGACAGGCTTTGAAACTGAGGTGAGAAAGGCATGGGCAGGCACTGAGAACAGCACAGACCACACTTAGGTGCCTCCGGGTCTCAGAGGGCAGCTGGAGCCATAACCTGAGGCCACAGCCCCTGTCCTTTGGAACAAAGAGTCTCTGTCACACTTTCCCTTTAAAGGCCCTTCCCCAGTAAAACTTTGAAAGGACCAAACAGAATGCAGAGGGAGGGCTTGGCCCTAGGAACAAAGCTTGGACTGCAGAGCCCCAGGAACTGAGCCTGGACTGCAGAGCAGCTGGCCCTCTCTGGACAACCTGGGGAAGGAAATGCTCTTGAAAAGAGCAAAGAGAAAGCTTCCAGAAGCCACAGCTGCCACCAGAGCGGTGTAGGTGTAGAGTTCAGATTCTCCTGTGCTTTTCCGCTGGCCCAGGACAAGGGACTGTGCTGTCACAAGGGAAGGCACCAAGCAAAGGGGCTTTTCCACCAGGGCTGGCCCCAGGGACCCCCAGAGCCTCCCCTTTTCCTCTGCCTGGGCACCGTCTCCTTGCCGCACTTGCACTTTGTGCCCTGGTGGACCACAGTGACCAGTAAGCTGTGGTGTCAGGGGAAGCCACGGAGGTGAGAGCGCTGCGTCGCCTCCAAAGAAAGAAAGACACAGAGACAGCGATTGGGCGGCGGGGGGTGGGGGGGGGAGGGTGGGGGGTGGGGGGAGTGGGGGGGGAGGGGGGGTGGGGGTGGGGGTGACAAGTGAGCACGAAGGTTTTCCAACTGTGAGTAAATTCACCGTGTTGCCTGGGGAATAAGCAGGCAGTGCAATTCCTAGCAGAAGCTGCAGTGCCAGGCCGCTCTGCATCTTTAGCCCTCTGTTCCCAGGCCATGCAGGCAGTGCTGGTGCCAGTGGCAGGGCAGGGGACCCAGGCTGCTGTTTCCTCTAAGCTGCTGCCTGTGCCCCGGGTCTGGGGACCACGCTTTGCTGTGCAAGGCCCGAAAGCATCCTGAGGGCAGGACCAGTGGGACCTCTTTCTATTCCTTTATTCATTGTCTGGGCTTAGAACGCATCTCACTACAGTCCTGATGGATGGAGGCAGGGACTGGCTGGGGTGTCCTTTCTCAAACTTAAAACAGCAGCTGGGTGAGCTGAAACCAGGTGTCTCTGATGAGAGGATAGGGACCACGGTGTGGTCGGTATGTCTTTATTTTACTTACGAACTTCTGCAGACCTAGAGGCCTGCTATCAGATGATTTTGAGAACGAGAAGGATAAGATAGTTGCGATTTTGAAGCAGAAACCTGAGAACCCATTTTTGGAGCGATGTTCTCACACTCCAAGGAGGGTAAGTGCGAATCTTCCTGAGAACTCCTGACAGGGCTGTGGTCATGGGGAATGGGCTGCTTGGGAAGCTGGAAACTTCCTGGTGAGGAGCAGAAAGACAGAATGGAGATAGTGTTTGCTGGCTGGGGCTTGAGCCAGCAGACCGCTTCTGACTCCTGTAAGTATAGGTGCCGGCCATCTCCAGGGTCACCTTGGTCAGCAGGAGTCACATGGTGCCTGTCAACCCCTGTTCTGCTCCTCATGCTGGAAGGACGGAGGCCCAGAGACACCACTCGGCAGTGCTACTCTCCACGCTGCCCCTGGTCTCAGCACCCTCGTCTGCAGAACGAGGCCTGGACACCCCGCAATCTCTACCGCCCTGCTGCTCCAGGACTCTGAGAGTTGATGGCTGTCAGGAGTAAGTGTGAGACTCCCTCTGAGCAGCTGGGGGATCTGGCCAAGGGACAGTCTCTCTGCAGGAGAGAGTCTGTTCGGCAGCCACTTAGGGGTGTGGATGGGCACCGCAGCCAGGCCGAGCACAGCCCCGCAGATGCCTGAGATGGAGGATGAACGAATGGGCAGGATTCTTGCTTCCAGGAGCAAGGCCAGAATGGCTGGCACACAACAGATAGGTGTGTGCTGCAGGAAAGGGCCTGTGACCCGCCGAGGAGCCCTGGCTGTCACTCAGCAGCTGGGCAGTGAGTATCTCGGGCACCAGGAGACAGACTAGGGGAAGCTTGAAGCTGATTCCTGCTCACTGCAAGCTCAGCATCCAGGAGGGGGCCAGCGAAGAATGCAGCACCCGTTCTGCAGTCCAGGAGGTGCCAGCCTGAGAGGAATGCAGGAGGGGTCAGAGAAGACTGTTCTGTGCAGATGGCTGTCAAGGGGGCCCTCAGAGGGGTGGGGAGGTACCCCCCAATGCATACAACGGGCTTCCTGTCAGAGAGCCCTGAAGAAGCACAGGATATGGACACCACACTCACTGGGAGGGAGACAGGCCGCTGGGATGCTGGGAAGATCAGCATATGTGCAGGTACTGATGAGTCCAGCTGGCAGCAGATGTAGACGGAGCAGGACAGAGAAATACACAGTGAAGCACACACTGGCAGGCCAGAGGCTGTGAGAGTCCCCGGCCTCAGGCCTTGGCGAGGAGCTGAGACCTTGAAGTTAATCTACAGAGGAACAATGGGAACCCTGGATCTTCTGACTTTATCCTGGAGTTCCAAAGCATGCAGCTCCAAGCAAGGCTGACTTCACATGAATGACACATTGCTGTGACACAGCTGGACTTGTCACAAAACCTACAAGCCTGGCATCAAAATCTGAGGTAACTGTGCCAGATGACTGGCCTCCTTTCCCTTCCTGGAGACTGGCAGGAATCCAGACGTCTGCACTGCCCAGCTTGCCTTGCAGCTAGAGACGGCCCAGGAGCTGACTTCATGGTAGAACATGTGGGACACCTGTTAGTTTCATCAGTGTCAGGGACAGAAGTCGGGGCCTCACACCTGCCAAGAGTGCTCCACCCTGAGCATGCTCCGGAGAAAGTTCCTCCCAGGGACATGGTGACCTGCCCCACTCTGCCTCCTGTCCTGCCAGCTGCCTAGGCTGTCCATGCCGCTGCCTCATGCCAACATGCCCTGTGGTTCCTCCTCTTCTCTTTTTGTGTGCTGGAAATTGAACCCAGAGCCTCAGATCCTAGCCCAGCATTCTACCACTGAACTTTATCCCAACACTTTCTTAGAGACAGGATCTCAACCGAGTGGCCCAGGCTAGCTTTGCTCTTGTGATCCTCCTGCTTCAGCCTCCTGAATAGCTGGGGTCACAGGTGTCTACTATCACACCCAGCATAATGATCTTTCTATTTAACTTCCTGTTACGGTCCTATAACTTCACTGAAAGGCTATTTTGTAAGGGTATCCTATTTCACCGCGAACATGTAAAGAATCAAACCATTCCCCATGGTAAACATTCACTGTCTCCAGTTAGTGCCAGACTGCCATTCATGCATAGGCCTTAGCGCACCTGAGGCTGTTTGTCTTAAGGAATTCTAAAAGTGGAATTACTAGGGAAACCAATGTGAATACTGGTTTCCTAAAGAGGTTGCAAATCCCCTTCTGGGGTGGTTCCCTCGCTGGTCCGCCTGCTGCACCCTCTGGTGGCCGATGGGAGGGCTACAGCGGCACCTGTGTGCCCAGGCAACTGGCAGTGTGGGCCTGCAGGGTTCATGGTCCCCTCTGGGCAAGGCAGGAACAGGAACACAGGTCGGTCTTGCTGTGTGGCAGCTGCTGGGTTCCTAGCAAAAGGCTTTGATTGACAGAAAGTCTGAACTTTATTCTCCAGGCCACCAGGCTGGCAGAGACAGCCTCTAGGAGAGGTGCTGCCCTGCAGGACACAGTGACTAGGGCGGCGCAGGGGCATCTGCAGAGTGCAGGATGGGGTGCAGGGAGGAGGCTGAAGAGCCAAGCTCTAGGAAATGTAGCATCAAACAACTTATGTGCACTTCGACTCAAGTGTGAATTAGGGTTAAAATTCTTTTTTGGGGGGAGTACTGGAGGGCCTCACATGTGTTAGTAAGTTTTCCACCACTGAGTTACGCTTCCTGCTCTTGAGATTTTTGATTTCAAAAGTCGGGTGGAGTGGCACATTCCTGTAATCCCAACACTTGGGAGGCTGAGGCAGGAGGATTGTTGCAAATGTGAGACCAGCCTGGGCTACACAAAGTGGGACCAAGGCCAGCCTGACCTGCACAGTGAGACTCTGTCTCAAAAAGATAGATAGTTAGAGAGAAAGATTTTGTTTTTAGGTACTATAACCTTGTAAGTTTTGGGGAAAAAGCAGATGACACTGGATGCTGATAATGTTAATGGTGTAAAGAGGGTTTAAGGAGATAAGTGGTCTGGGACCCTACGCCCGTGGTTCAGTCTTCCCCAGGCCCCGAGCCTCTCCCCGACCGCCCTGGGACCTGGAGGTTCTGACTTCTGTCTCTGCCCAGGCTGCTCTGCCAAGCAGCAGCTTCCTGGTGCTGGGCAGCAGGCTCCTTCCCCTGGGGACAGTTACCCCACAGATGGGTCCTGTATGGAAACCAGCAGAGAGCAAAACTGCTCAGCTCCCCCATGTGGAAGCTTTCGACTGAGGGAGGAAGAAGGTGAGCCATCAAATTCCTGGCCGCCGCTGCCTTCTGGGGCACAGTCTGGGCACGAAGCAGGTGCTCAGGAAGTACAGTCACGGGCCGTTTGTGCCGTGTTTCTCCAGGGATGACATTTACTAGTGACATACTTATCAGGACGGACACATCCCCACGGTAAGCAACGCACAACTGTGTGTGTGGCAGCCTCTCGCATTCTGTGGCTATCAGGATCCATGAGCACCACTGCCAAGACTCAGGTCTAGGGGCGACTGCAGGATGCGCTGGTGGACTA